CGTTTTTATACTTGTTTTAAAAGAATTGGGACTAAAAAAAAAAAAAAAAAATTTTGGGTTTTTGAAAAATTTGGGTCGGCGGGTAATGCAAAACGAAAATTTAACTTTGCGTGGCCTTATAAAGTTCAGTGTTGCACCTTTAATTACTTTTGTTTTACATCGCTATTTGCGCACAACATTAAAAAAAAGAAAAGAAACTATATTTAGCTAATTTACTGATTTTACTTCAACAAAATCTTTTATGAACGCATATCGAACTAATAATTAAATTACAAACATGAATCTATATAACACAGTTACACATTGAATTTATCAAAAAACACCTATTTTTAAACAATATATTCATAGTCATGCTTTAGGCTTCCTTAATCAACGAATTCTATGGTACAAGACAGCAATATTCTGCGTTAGTCACAGATGTTGAAATTAATTACTCAAGCTATTCTTTAAATTTCAATAATTAACAAATAATTTGGGTTGTTTTTTAATATAACCATCAAACTTATTATCGTAATAATTCAATTTTACTAAAAGACCTTAGTTAATAATATATTTTATTTTATAAAGAAAATAACAAAACAAAAATATCAAGTTTATCTGTCAAAAATTCTTTGTTGCCAAATAACTTTTCGATGCTTATTTGTAATTTCGGAAAGAAATTTTTATATAATGATTACCATTACTTTTATCGTCATAAAATAGATATATATTATAGCCAACCTGACAGTCCTGAAAAGTTCATTATTGAAATTACTACGTTTATTAAAAGCTCATAATGAAATATAATTTAATTTGAATTTCTGTGTGCTTTATATCCAAAGTTAGTTACAGAGAGCTTCGTTTCATTGAGTCAACTATCGACAAAAAAAGTTTATTGAATGAAATAAATTATTTTCGTCAAATATTTTTTATTAAATGTATTAGCGAATCTATTAAAAAAATTTTTCCAGATTAGTCATCAGTACTATCACAAGATCACCCGGAGAGCAACCTTGTACACATTTTCGGTATGCTGATGCGATGTCATCTGCTGGGTTACGAGAGCTGGTTGAATATCAGATTAAAATAACGATTACGTAACTAATTTTGGCGAACATTGAGAAGGGTTGGACTAGATAGGAATCGGGAAAATCGGTGATATGGATATCAACTAACACTAAGACTAATCTACAACTAATGGTGGAATGCATGATAGGGGCGTGGAAAGACTTGGTCCGAGCTATTAGGGCCAAATAGAGCTCTAGACTACGTCACGAAACTCTAAATCGGAATTACGGGATTAAACTACTAATTCTATGCGAATTTGACTTATCGGGGTAATTAAAGCGAAGACTCTCTATGAGTCGAACTCTAGTGATTTATGCCAACTCTGAGTTGTCTTTATTCCGGGAGGAAAACTCCTCCTTTATATAATTATTTTATACATATAATGGAATTCTAGGAATTCTAAGTATTCTAGCTATTCTTCGAATTCTTGTAATTCCCATCATTCTCCGAATCCCAAGGATTCCCCGAATACCAGGAATTCCGGGAATTCCAGGAATTTATACCACCTTAACTCTAAAATTAGAATTACAAGATAAAAATAGAATTTAGGGGTCGATCTTACCCACTAGGGGGTTACAAATTATGGTTACAGCATGATTCCACTAAGTTATTTTTGCAACTCGACACCACACAGGGCGACAATTTGCTAAAACATATACCTGCAACTAGCCAAATCCAATCCTAACGTTATGTGGTACGTATCAGATAAGTGGAAACAACCCAAAAAAATTAAATTATAGTAAAGATCATCGTTAAACAATGCACGTACGTAACTCTGTAACGGTAACATCGATTACAAATTTGTTAATCCAAAAGAACAGTATTAAAGCGCATCGGAGATAATAAATGCCATATATATTTTATTAATAATTTTACATTAAATTTTAAATTAAAGAAAAGTTTTGGCACACTGAGCACTTTATTTATCCATCAAATATACACCATTGAGCCGACATTTAAAAATATAACAACTGTGGTGTTAATAAATTCGTTTTAGATCCTCTGCTTCCAGTCATTAAACACATAGATCCAGTTATGATTAGTGCAAACGATAAATATAAACAAAAATATGAAAATGAGAAATTTGGGCGGTATTTGAAATCTGCTGAAAGTGTGATTCTGATGCGCAATTTAATCTTGGAGAATGCTATGAGAAAGGCATAGGCACAAACAAGGATGAAAAGAAGGCATTCGAGTGGTATTTGAAATCTGCTGAAGGTGGCAACTCAGATGGACAATTTATTGTTGGTTGCTGCTATGACGAAGGCATAGGAACAAATAAGGATGTAAAGAAGGCATTTGAATGGTATTTGAAATCTGCTGAAGGTGGCAATGCTCAAGGACAATTTAATGTTGGAATATGTTATGACGAAGGCATAGGAAGAAACAGGGATGAAAAGAAGGCATTTGAGTGGTATTTGAAATCTGCTGAAGGTGGTGTTGCTAAAGGACAATGCAATGTTGGACTCTGCTACATGAATGGCATAGGCACAGATAAGGACAAAAAAAAGGCATTTGAGTGTTATTTTAAATCTGCTGAAGGTGGCAATGCTCAAGGACAATGCAATCTTGGATTCTGCTATGAAAAAGGCACAGGCACAGACAAGGGTGAAAAAAAAGGGATTTGAATGGTGCTTGAAATCTGCTGAAGGTGTGCTCAAGGACAGAATAATCTTGGAACTTGCTATCAATATGGCAGAGGCACAAACAAAGATGAAAAGAAGGCATTTGTGTGGTATTTGAAATCTGCTGAAGGTGGTCTTGCTCAAGGACAATACAATATTGGAATTTGCTACAATAATGGCACAGGCACAGACAAGGATGAAAAAAAGGCATTTGAATGGTATTTGAAATCTGCTGAAGGTGGTTATGCTCAAGGACAAGATAATCTTGGAATTTGTTATCAATATGGCAGAGGCACAAACAAAGATGAAAAAAAGGCATTTGAGTGGTATTTGAAATCTGCTGAAGGTGGCAATTCAGATGGACAATGCAACCTTGGATTCTGTTATTACTGCAGCATCGGCACAGCCAAGAACGAAAGAAAGGCATTTGAATGGTATTTAATATCTGCCGAAGATGGTGACTTTGTAGCACAATATAATCTTGGATACTTCTATGAGAAAGGCATAGGCACAAAGAAGGATGAAAAAAAGGCATTTGAGTGGTATTTGAAATCTGCCGAAAATGGTCATGACGGTGGGCAGTATAAAGTTGGATTATGTTATCGAAATGGCATTGGAACAATACCCAACCAAGAAAAAGCCAAAAAATGGTTACAAAAATCCCAAAGTAATAACTAATAGCAAAAATATTGACGATGATTTTTTAAAAATACTATCGTCTGAAAATAATTTATCAATACCATTGATTCCATTTGAAGAATTTGAAATTATAGAAGAAATCGGAAAAGGTGGGTTTGCAACTGTTTGTTCTGCCAATTGGACATACCAAACCACAACAGCCGGCGGTTTTAGAAGAGAAATAGTTGCACTTAAATTATTTGATGGACCTAAAGAAATTTTAAAAGAGGTAAATGTTTGATATAGCATAATTATTATGGTTATAAAAGTTTATTAATATTTATAACTTTTAAAAGTTAATTACATATTCTAGAATTGGATCCGAAAGTCCTACGTTTTTGCAATGTCATGGAGTAACAAAAGATGAAGTTAATAATAAGTACATTCTAGTTATGCAATACACAGAAAAATGATCATTACGCAAGAATCTTTATGAAATCGCACGAATGAAATGGGAGAAAAAATTAGAATTATTATCTTATATTGCACTTGATCTTCAACTAATTCATTCGCATGGTATTATTCATTGTGATTTACATAGTGGAAATATATTTCAAGATGACTTACATAATGCATATATTGGTGATTTAGGACTTGCTGTTGCGATTAATAAAACAAAAGATATAGAATCTAAAGTAGTTTATGGAGTTTGGTCTTATATTGCTCCAGAAATTTTACGTGGTGAAAAGATGTTTACAAAAGAATCAGATGTTTATTCATTTGGAATAATTATGTGGGAATTCTCTTCAGGAAGAGCTATATTTTCTGAATATAATGAATCACCTACAAACATTTGTGTAGGATTTAAACCATCTGTTATTAAAGGTACAGCAAAGTGCTATGAAGAACTTTTAGAAAGATGTTGGGATAATAATCGAGAAAAACGACCTTCAGCTTCGGAAATTTATGAAACTATTTTAAGTTGGAAAAATAATCCAGAAATTTTAACTGAATTTTTAAAATCTGATGAAGAAATGGTATTCGAAAATAATCCAACTAAAGACGATATTGCTAATAATTTAAACTATATTTATTACTTGCAAATCAATTAATCTTACTTTAGAATCAATTTATTACTAATGGGGGTTTCAAAGTTAACAAATAAGTGACACATTTCAAAAATAAATAGGATTTTTTTCAATAACATTTTTACTATGTTGAATTATAAATCGGAAAAATAAAATAAGATTCTCTGATTTTAACTTTGAAACCCCCTAATACATTTATTAGAAGAGTACCTGTACTAAGATATTCTACAAATTTATTTATTTTCTAAGGAGAAACAAAATAATTCAGCACTAGTTTGAATATAAATACACGTATATGATCAATTTTAAATATTCTTGTTTCATTGTATATTGTTATTACAAGTGTAGGTAGATACGTGATATGAAGATTTGTAATATGTAAAATTAAATTTTAGTACTTGTTATTAATGCAAGAAGATAGTTTCATTCAGGTATTCTCAATCTGTGTTGGCATTATGATTTTGTTTTTGTACTATGTTTTTTTTTATCTGAGTTGTATATATAAAAATCGAAATCTCATTTATATTAGATCTAACTATTTAAACATAATTCCAAAGATAAAACTAAAAATCATTGAGCTTTATATAAGATACTGCAAAAGTGCTGAATGTAAGACTATTAATAGCTGCGTTGTCACTTTATCGATCTACTTATTCTTCAGTAATCTTAAATTAATATATAAAGAATTATCATTTATTGAATGCTAATTCTTAAAGCAATTTCGTTTAACAATAATAAACTCCGTATACTGTACTGGTATTTATTAAGGGTTGTCTGCTAGGGTTATCAGATCGGGGTAGCCAGGAAGTTAGCGCCTTATAATTACAGTAAATAAATTTTGATTTCAATATATATATATATATTATTAAAGGGTGTTCTCAAGCGCAATAATTCAAAAATTTTTAGTACAGTACAGGACAGCAAAAACTATCCACTTTTTTATATATAAATATAAAAATGCTTTAACTTTTGAACAAGTAACTTTAAAAAAAATCTGTCTTACAGATTTGTTGCTTTTAGTCTAAGCTACAATTCTGTAAGACAGATTTTTATTTTTATTATAAATTTAAAAAGTTTTTAGAGTTTAAAATTTATAAATTTACATATAAAAACCAAAATTTGGCGCTTATTATATAAAAAAAAATCATTTTTATATATTTTAACCAATCAAATTTTTGTTACACAAAAATTAGCCAATCAGAATCATTATAAATTCTCAAATTTGGCGCCTTTAAAAAAAAAGTTGGATGTTTTTTGCTGTCCCGCACTGTAGTAAAAATAAAAAATTAATTGAATTTATCATTTCAATTTATAACCATTTAAAAATAAACTATCTTTTTTTCTTTTTTTTTTATCCCTGGCTTGGCAAAATTTGCAATTTATCGAGATCGTTTAAGTAACTTTATTATGAGTCCTCATTATCAACGTCAACGAATTACTATTGCTTCTTATACTAAAAGCTTTTATGGAAAATAAAAATAAGGAAGCCTAAAAAAAATTTTAAATATTACCTTCTCTTGAAATAATTATAATTATACTGAGCACTATTGTGTTCACTAGTTAATCTCATCGAGAACACCTAATATAGTTTGTCAATTAAACCGAACCTTTTTATCGTTTTATGCTATGTATCATAATTAAAATTATTAAGGTATGCTGTTTTTTAATCTCTAAGTAATATAAGAAAGTATGTAATTGGTCCAATCTCCATTATAATATAAATACGTATACACAAATAATTAGATACTGCTTTATGTATATACGGATAAAATTACTAAAAATTTCTCTAATAGTAAAATTATCAAAAAACATTGTACGCGTTAGTATTTAGGTGTTTCAAATTAACAAATAAGTTTCGCTTTTCAAAAATAAGTGGGATTTTTTAAACTGTGTTGATTATAAATCTGAAAAATAAACAAGATTCCCTAATTTTAAATTTGAAACTTTCCAGTACAAATTACATATAAATTGGAACAAACTATGCTTCTAGGAAAATAATTGCCCGGTATATATCATCGTTATAGTTGAAGCCTTCGGTTTTCTATAATTCTTAGAACATGATTTTAATAAACTTTAGACTTCGTTCTCACTAAGAGCCTCGATTTCTTGATTGTACGGCATTTAATAAGAATTTGATTCTCCCATGCTGTATTTTCGTATTAGTGTATTGTTTAGTGTTTATTTCTTTTACAGTTGTCTTAGATTTATTACTACATTG